ACCCATCGTTGCATCTAGATAGCAGCTTGCTAGCTTTTAAGATCCCAGTCACTACTTGCCAAAGTAGGAGGTGGAACAATGTTTTGTATAGTGTGTTATGCCAATTGAGCTTGGTGTCCCCTGCAACTATGGTCCCAAGCCCGCAGGTTCAACTACTCGGTCCTGAGAGCCCTTTCTTGACTCACCTGACCCCTCACCCAATGCAGCAGGGTTGTACAGGTCACTGGGTTTTGGGTCAGGGTCTTAGCAACACCTTCCCTCCCTGCTTTTCTTCTCTGACATTTCGTGATTTGTTCTTGCAATTTCCTCCTCCAGTTATTCCTTTTAATGAAATAGTAGAACCTCTCGTTGTGAGAGTAGGGGTCACCCATACATGTCCTGCTCTGATAGATTCTAGGCATTGTCTGTTTGTGGGTCATGGCTTAAAGCAGTATCTGTAGACTCCCTTACCATTTGGAGGTGGCTGACACTTTTCCTCTGGATCCTCCTTTGCTCTGTACGTCACCATGTGACACCTCCCACTCTACCCCTTACCCCCTCATTTCAGCAGTGGTACTTCCAGGCTCCTGCCTAGGCTCTAGGCTCACAGCACTGCTGCACCTCAGCACACTGAAGAAGCCCTGGCTCATTTCACTTATGGAGGTTATCTGTGCCAGGTTTCTAGTTAATGTCTCTATTTTAAGATGGGTCAGTAATTTTTCAGAAAGACAAGGGGAAGAGGGCACTTGAGTAGTTTCTCCTTGTTCCCCCTTACGAGACCATTGAGGGAGTGGCCTGGGCTGACACCACTTGTCAGGGGGCCCGTGTCCGAAGCTCTAGGCTCCTGACAGCAGCCTAAAGGGGAACCCAAGGATATTGGTAGTCCTTTCAAATTGATGAGGGGCTATTTTCAACAAGGATAAAAAGGGATTCTTTTATTTTAAATGATTTTATATAGGACCTCTTGATGTCAGGGAGCTACCAGGTAGGGGCTATTTCCTGGTCTTTGGGAATGGAGCAGACCAGCACCCACTTTGTGCAATACTTGGGGTGGCATGGCTATGCTATCTCCTGCCTGTCTTTCTGCTGTGTTTTGGGGGCACCTGGAGGATACTGAACATGTAACAGATGCAAAGCCATGTATGATGAAGCAGATACGTGTCTTGGTCTAGTGATAATTTTGTTGGGAACTGGAAATTACCTTCCCTGCTTTCCATCTTTCCACACTACCCATTCTTATCAAGTTGGTTCTGACTCCCAGAAGGGGAGAAAAATACAAAACATAGGCCAGTAGAGGTAGGGGGAAACTTGGATTCCTCTGACATTGTTAGAAACATTTTGAGAGAGAGTTAAATAATAGTAAATGATATGATGCATATTCTAATAATAATAACAATAGAGATTAAGAGCATAAACCTTAGAGCTAGACTGTACACACACATACACACACTGCCATGGAGTCGATTCTGACTCATAGTGACCCTATAGGACAGAGTAAAAGTGCCCCATCGGGTTTCCAAGGCTGTAAATCTCACACACACCGCCAACCTTTTTGGCTAGCAGCTGAGTGCTTTAACCACTGTGCCACCAGGGCTTCTTCGAGCTAGACTGCCCAGATTCAAACCCCAATTCTACCACTTACTATCTGTGTGATTTTAGGCCAGTTCCATAATGGTTTTCTACCTCAATTTCCTCATCTATTAAAAAGAATAACAATAATGGCATCATTCTCACAGGGTTGTTGTGTAGGTAGGTGTCAGCAGCAACAGTAACAGTATTTTCACTTTCAGTGTTCCGGGATTTTGCCACACTTGAGGAATTCATTTCAATCCTGGCTCTCCAACTTTATCAGGCAGCAGTCACCTGGAGGGCTGGTTAAAACACAGGTGGCTGGGCTCTACCCCCAGAATTTCTGGTTTAGAGGGTGTGGAGTGGGTACCAGAATTTGTGTTTCTAGGTTACACTGATGCTGCTGGTCATAGGACCATCCTTTGAGAACCTCTGATATGACTTGTAACCAAAACCTAAAACCAAACCCAGTGCCGTGGAGTGGATTCCCACTAAGGGAGGCACCCATGTATGACAGAGTATAACTGCTCCGCAGTTTTCTTGGCTATAATCTTCATGAAAACACATCTCCAGGCCCTGTTACCCCAAGGTGCTGCTGGCTGGGTTCAAACTGATGACCTTTAGGTTGTGTAGTTGAGCGCAAACTGTTCATGCCACCCAGGGACCTTGAGGAGGACATAGTTTGTTTCTGCTTTTGTGTTGTGACAGAGCACCTGAAGCAACAGCAGGCCTTACCCATCGTGTTGGGTGAGAACACAGCGAGTGACCCGGACAGCCCTATCAATGGTATGCCAACTATGCACATCTCCTTCCCCACATAGGGTCCCTGTACGATTAAGTGATTTGGCATATCAAAATGCCTGGCATACATTTGAGGTCCATCCCTTCCCCACCCAGATTCCCTGGGGCTCTAACCATGGAAGCATCCAACAAATGAGAACAAGTTGGTCCCCAAAGCAAATTGGTGCAATTGGTTTTCAGGGTCTCTTACCTCCTCTTTTATGTGCCCTTTCTTTCCTCTGTTTCCTCCTCGCTCTCTCCTAAGCCTTGGCACAGGCAAGGTTTCCTGTAGCCTCACCTGGCACGAGAGAGCTCCCAAGACCCCAGAAGCAGCTGCTGTGAACACAGGCACCCCACAGACTGCCACCTGGCCCCTTGCTCTTGTGGGGAGGGAACTAGTGCATTGCATGCCCTAGCCTTCCCTTCCCTTCCATGACTGGCCTTCCCTTTTGGCACTGCATTACAAGGCAGGCTTTCCAAAAGGTTTTTTTTTTTTTTTTCCTAATAAAACTAATTCTTTCATCTGTTTTTAGATCAAAGGCAGTTAGAAGAACAAGACACTGACAGTAAAAAAGAAGAAGATAACAGTATACTTTGGACCAAAGAAATTCAGGATCTCGGAGAAGACACAGAGAGGTAACAGAAAAAGCTGGTCTTTTGAAAGGATTTTAATTATTAGTTTGTATGAGTTATTTTCTAAGATTGGTAAATTAAAAAGGGTAAGAAAAACTAAAAATAGTTCCTATTCCTAAAAGGTAGTTTTGTTTTGTTTTTATTTCATCTTGTGAGATAAACACAGGTTTCAACCTCTTTCAAAACATTTCAGTCAGAGGGCTTAGAGGAGAATTTTTGGATTAAATAAAAGAGTGGGAGCAATCACTCTTTTATTATTATTATATAATAATAATAATAATATATAATTATATTATATAAATATAATAATAATATATAATTACTAATATAATAATTATTATTATCATGAATATTATTATTGTGGTGAAAACATACACATTTGCCAACATAACAACTTCCCCATTTACAGCTCAGGGACATTGATGACATTTTCCATGTTGTGCCACCATTATTGCTATCCTTTTCCAAAATGTTCTACCACCATTAGCATAAACTCAACAGACAATTCAGTCTTAAAACACAAGGATGCTTCAAGAAACTCGATTCCATCTCTGATTTGGAGCTCTCCTTTTGCCCGTGTTCTAAGATAAACCACTTTACCTTGCCTCCTTTGCCTCTTGCCATCTGCCTTGTCCAAAACTGTCATTCAGGGCCAGAACTGCGGTGAGGTGAGGGAGACAGCCTCCTGGGGCACAAAATTTAAGGGTGCCAAAAAACTCAACATAAATAATATATTTTTAAAGTGTTTTATTGTTATTTTGGAGAAAATTTACATAGCAAATTAGATTCTTTCTTAACAATTTCTGTACATACTATTCAAGGAGCTGTGGTGGTACACTGGTTAAGACAGTCAGCTGCTAACCTAATGATTGGCAGTTTGAACCCACCAGTCGCTCTGCAGGAGAAAGATGAGGAAGTCTGTTTCTACAAAGGTTTACAGCCTTGGAAACCCTGTGGGGCAGTTGGAATCAACCCAGTGGCAAGGGGTTTGGTTTTTGGTTATTATTCAAGGACATTGGTTACACTTTTCACAATGTGTCAGCATTCTCATTATTTCCATTATGGTTCTGTTTCCATTAATCTAGCTTCCTTGTCCCCTATTACCTTCTCATTTTTGGTCTGGGGTAAGTATTAACTGTTAGGTCTCATTTAGATGATTATTTATAGGAACACCATACTCACGGGTGATATTATTTATTTTATAAGCCACTCTGTCTTTTGGCTGATAGGTAACCTCCAGGAGTGGTTTGAATTCCAAGTTTAAGGGATTTCCCAGGGTGAGAGTCTTAGGGCTTCCTCTAGTCTCTTTCAGTCCAGTAAGTCTGGCTTTTTTTTTTTTTTTTTTAGGAATTTGAGTTTTGTTCTACATTTTTCCCCATTCTATCTGGAACCATTTATGTGTCCTTGGTCAGAATGGTCAGTAATGATAGCCAGGCACCATCTGGTTCTTCTGATCTCAAGGTAGATGAGGCTGTGGTTTGTGTACACTGTTAGTTACAAACTAGTTTCTTCTTTGAGTCTTTGGTTTCCTTCTTTCTCTTTTGCTCCAGATGTGTAGAGATCAGTAGTTGTACCTTAGATGGCCATTCACAAGCCTTTAGACCCCAGATGCTACTCACCAAACTAGGATGTAGAACATTATCTTGATGAGCTATGTTATGCCAGTTGAACAAGTTGTCCCCGTGAAACTATGGTCTTAAGCCCTCAAACCCAGTAACCCAATCCCATGAGGTATTTGGTTATATCTAAGAAGTATCCCGGGAGCTCTGGTGACATAGTGAATAAGACATTTGACTTCTAACCAGAAGGGTGGCAATTCAAACCCACCAGCCACTCCTCAGAAGGAAGGTTGGGCAATCTACTTCTGTAATGATCATCGTTGTTGTCATGTGCCGTCGAGTCGGACCTGACTCATAGCGACCCCTCCTTGGGTTCCCAAGGCAGTATCACTATGGAAGTAGATTGCCCCATCTTCCTTCTGAGGAGTGGCTGGTGGGTTTGAACCGCCAGCCTTCTGGTTGGTAGTCAAGTGCCTTAGCCACTATGCTACCAGAGCTCCGTAACGATACTGCCTTGGAAACCCAAGGAGGTGTCGCTGTGAGTCAGATCCGACTCAATGGCAGTGCGTTTGGTTTGGTTTGGTTAGGAATTATCCCTAACTGTGCCCCACCAAGTGCCTCTTGTGGCATACTGCCTGTTCTGGTTACCCAGTGCCTCTCTGGCAAGAAATATACCACAAATGGGATGGCCTTAACAAACAGAAATTTATTCTTACAATTTGGAGGCTTTAAGTACAAATTCTAAGTGCCAAGCTCTAGGGGCGGGGTGAAAGTCCCTCATCCTTGGGCTTCAGCTCTGCCTTCAGCTCCCAGCCCAGTGAAGCTAAAGCTGCTGGCTGCTGAGGCTGCCAAGCCCAAGGTCGACAAGTAAAAAAGCACAGTCCCGATGTTACCAAACCACACGGCAGGCCATTAACTCAAGTCCATTGTAAGTCCCTAGGTCAGCAGGCTGCTGAACAACAACATGGCTACATGCAGGGTCCAAGCGTGCCGTAAGCTAGAGCCCATTTCAAAGGCTTCTCCTTATATACTGGAAGCATTCCACATCCCAAAGTCAGCTACTCAGCTGCTTGTGGTAGATCCCACCATGGAGCTGAATGCCAGTCTCATCATGGGGAATAACTGCCACCAGCTGCCCAGCCACTCAGCCAGGTCCAGCCAACTTGACACACAAACATAACTACCACAGTGCCTAAGGTATTCAACTGCTACCCAGAAGCCTGGTGGTTCAAACCCACCGGCCACTCCTCAGAAGGAAGGTTGGGCAATCTATTTCCATAGTGATACCGCCTCAGAAACCCAAGGAGGAGTTGCTATGAGTCGGATCCAACTCAACGGCTGTTTGGTATTTTTTGGTTAGTAGTCCATTGTGTGTATGTATCACAGTTTGTTTATCCATTCATCTGTTGATGGGCAGTTAGGTTGTTTCCATCATTTTGCTATTGTGAATAATGCTATGATGAACATGGGTGTGCATATATTTGTTTGTGTCAGTAGTTTTAGTTCTCTAGAGTATATACCTAGGAGTGGGATTGCTGGATCATAGGATATTTCTATTTCTGGCTTTTTGAGGAAGTACCATACTATTTTTCATAGTGGCTGAGCCAATTTACAATCATATAAGCAGTGGAACAGGGTTCTAGTCTTTCCACAACCCTGCCAGCATTTGTAGTTTTGATTTTTTGATCAGTGCCATTTTTGCAGAGGTGAGAAGATAAATAATATTTTAATGCAATATTTTTTTTAAATCAAAATTAATGCAAAAAAAATTACTTTGTGGGTAAAATGTCTAAAATTTAAAGCACGATAGGATCTGACCTTGTTCTTACACCACTTGCCACACCCTAATTCCAGCCCTGTGGATCTTTGGAGAGCCATGCACAATGCTTTCAGCTGCAAATGACAGAAAACCTCACCATTGGGCTTCAGTGAGCTTGTCTGACATCATAGAGGCTCAGAGGTTGGCAGGGCATGGCTGGTTTGGCAGCTCAATGATGCCACCAGGGACTCAGGCTCTTTTGATCATCCTACTCTGCCACATGTAGCATGTTGGCTTTTGTCCTCAGGCTTGTCACCTCCTGCCTGCAAGATGGCTGCTGTCTACACCCCAGGCAGAGAGAAGGGGATGGGACAAGAGAGTATGGTAGCTGATTGCCCCTTTTTATCCAGACTTGAGTTTTCAGCTTTCCAACTGCTATCAAAGAGGAAGGCAATGGAGAAAAGTGTTATGAGTAACTTTTGGGTCGTTTAATCCAGTGCCTGTCATACTCTTCAAGGGCTAAATTATTCTATATAAGGAAGGAGAAGAGAGGAAGGTCAGGGAAGTAGAAGAGGTGACAAGCCTTTGACCTGAGAGGAAAGTGGGGAGAGGGCTTTTTGGGGAGACAAAGAGGCAAAGGGAGAGAGAAGATGAATATTTTTAAAGACGTTTCAGGAAACTTTTTTCTGTGATGTGTGATATAACTCCATTCCTTCCATCCCCAAAAAAGACCTTCAATTATGCTTCTTTGTCAAGGGAGAGTGAATATGACTTTTGTCTCAATTCTCTTCCCTTGTCCTTGGACAGAGCTCACTCTACTCTTGATGAGGACCTGGAAAGATGGCTTCAGCTACCTAAGGAGAGCAAGGGACTCCAGGACTTCCCAGAAGGCGCTGAAAGGTTTTGTTTCCCAGTGGGGGAATCCTTTTCTTCTTTGCAGGAAGCAGGGCTGGGTTTTTTGTTGGTTTCTTTGGGATTTTGTTTTTAATATCCAGACTCTTTGGAGAATGAGTGTCTCGTGATAGCCTTACATTGACTTTTCTAAGCCAGCACTGACTCCATCTGTCTCCACTCTTGTACTTTCCCCTCTTCCTCCAGACACCCACAGTGCTTAGGATGTTGATTAGCAGATTGACATCAGTATAGAATGAGGCCTCTAGGATTTCTGTACCTTTGCCCAGCCACCTTCAACATTTTCATCAGTCATTTGAATTAAATCAGAAAAGGCAGGCTCATCAAATTTTTAGAGAACACAGATCTAGGTACAAATGCTAGTATGATGGGTGATAGACTCGGATTCAAAATGGTCCAGGTGACAGGTGGAAATATTAGATTTCTCTGAAAGGTGAAGGGGGAGCATTTAGATCCAAAAAGCATAGAATGTGGGAGACATGACCTTATTAGGACATTTTTTTTTCAGAAGCTCCTGCTCACTGTAACTTCATTGAGGGCAGGAAATATGTCTTATTTTTTATGACCGATACTTAGCATGCATCTGGAGACGTGGTAGGAATTCAAGAAATGCTTCTTGGAGGATGCATGGACAGTGACTCTGAGCCTTGATTTTGATGCCATCGTTAAAAAGGTCCAAACTAAACCCACTGCCATCGAATTAATTCTAACTCATAGTGACCTTGTAGGGCAGGATGGAACTGCCTAGAGTTTCAGGCTGTAAATCTGCTCAGAAGCAGACTACCTCATCTTTCTCCCATGGAGCTGTTGGTGAACTGCCAACCTTTAACCACTGCCCCACTAGAGCTCCTTCTAAAAGGTCAGTGCAGCATTAATGCTGAATAAACAGGCATGTACTGTCCAGATCAAGGTAATCATCTCATGCTGAATGCTTAGATGACTTCTAGGATACAGTGTGAGGGTCCATTCTGCATCACATTTTAAAAAGGATGCCATCAAACAGAAGAGGGTGGCTACAGTCAGAAGTCTGGGAGCCGTGTCCTATCAGAACAGCTGAAGGAGCCAGGGAGGCTAATCTGAAGAAGAACAGATGGAGTGGAGAATTTGATATCTGCCTTTAAATACCTGAAATACTGTATTGTAAAGGGGAAGAGTCAGCTTACTCTCTTCTGCTCCAGAGATCAAAGCTAGTGATAAGAAGCTGCAGAGTAATAGATTTTTATGCAGTCGGTGCATAAACTTTCTAATAGCAATTGCTATCTGACAGTGGAACCAGCTACCTTTACACTTTAACAACACCTGCACCCTCTCAAGCAGAGGCCAGGTGACTCTCTAGTCTCAGGCATTGGGCTGGAGGTAGGAGAAGGTAACTCTAGAGCTATGATTCTATCAATGATAGGAAGTTATGAGGAAAGAAAATTCTTTTCTACCCTAGCTGGATTTATTTTATCTCATTTTAATACTATGTTATGAATATCCACCAAATGAAAACAGAAGAGAGGTCTCTGAACAGAACTGGTTTGGTTCATCCAGCACTTGTTGAACACAGAACAGTGAGCCAAGCCTGGAGCTGGGAGCTGGAGGTGTGAAGAATAATAAGACGTCCCTGCCCTTAAGGAGCTGATCATTAGCTGAATGGGGGAGATAGTTTTTGCTTGATAGTCTGATAAATGTGATCTTAAATTGTGAGATACTTAAATTATTCAGATACTTCGCTCAGAGTTACAGGAAATAAAGATAAGGCAATAAAATAAATAGTGGTTGTAAAAAAGGATGCTAATTACAACATAACTAAATTTATTTTTCCTTTGAGGCAAGATAGCCTAGTGGTTGAGAGCAGACTTACTGGGTTCAGATCCCAGCCCTAAGACTTACTTGGTATATAATTTAACGTCTCTATATCTCAGTTTCTACGTCATTTGATGGGGATAGTAGTGGTAACTACAGAATATGGTGGTCATGAGAATTAAATGAGTTAATTTACATAAAAGCCCGGGAAGCAGTGCCTGGCCCGTAGAGAACACTCCATTAGTGCTACCTATTACCATGTTATCTCTGGGAGGAGTCCTGTTCCCCAGGCCTTTACACACAAAATTTGATGCCCCAAATTTTTGTCATTGAAGGGAGACAGATACTAAAAGTCCAAAAGTTGATGAAAAGAAAGAAAAAGGGGAAGGAAGCATAACACCAGAGAAAAGGAAATCGGAGAGCTTCGTAGAGACTTCTGAAGAAGGTATGAATGAGCAATTGTTTATGATATAATATGTGTACAGTACTGGGACTATGGTGAGCATCAGTGTTATTTAGACATGTCTTCCAGATGCTATATATATCCCAGCTCCTTTGAAAATTTCTTTTTCCTTGTAGTTCAGATTTTCTGTTAATTGCCAATTATATCCCCATCACAAAACAGTAATAACATCCAATTCTATTTCTAAAGCAAGCCTGCAGCCTGTCTCATTATCATTTTCTTGCACATTGTTTGGAAAGATGTTTTAATTGTCTGGACACTTCAAAAAAGTTCTAAATTTAGTTCACCCAGAGGCTGCATAATCCAATAAGAAATCATATATTATGGAATTTCAGTGGAATCTACAAGTAATATGAAAGTTATAAATTAACCTTAATTATAAAACAGTTTTAATAGAGCTTTAAGGCTTCTTCTATGCCATTCACAAATGACTCCCTTCTGTATTTAAGTGCCTCCTACTCACAAAGTTAGAGACAGTAACTCTTTCAGATCCCCTGATATCCCTTTTCATCCTTTCCATAGTCTGTTCTCATTCCCTTCCCTTTTCTGCCCTTCTTTGTCCTCCACGAGCCTGACCCTCCTAGACTGCATCTCCTGGGCTTCTTGGCCACCTGGCTTTCTATTGGTCAGTGGGACTGATGGACAGGAGACAGATTGGGGTATTCCTTTCCCTTCCTCTTGACTTCAGCACAGCCTCTATAAAGTAGCCCATCGTTTCCAGTTCCTGTGTTCACTGGTCCCTAACTTGTTCCTTCCCCTTGTCCTTTCAGCCATGTAAGTGATATGGCTTCCTACTGCTGCCAGTCACTGGGTGCCTTGCCATCCATGCTTTCTCCTTTAGCCCTAACTACACCTCTGTAAGTAACCACTTACTTTGGGGTCTTTATTTGAACCATCTGGGGACACATTCTGTTTCCTCTCAGGTCCTGACTGGCACAGGACCCAGAATGTATGAGCATTTTAGCTAATCTTGAATTCACTGAGAAAATAATGGGTTTTTTGGTTTTTGTTATTTTTCTTTTATATAGTTAGTTTTGCTACAGTTAGTTTGGTATAGTTAATTAAAATATAAGGTGAAATTAATGCCATCTTTACTGATTAAATTAGTGGTAGAGTCAGCACAAGAATGTTTTTATTTTATTTTTTTAAGATCAGACAAAAAGAATGCAATATTTATTGAGAACATGTTATGATTAAACATTTGAGAATTAATTCAGTCTTTTTTTACATTGTGATTTGGGTGAAAGTTTACAGAGCAAATTCATTTGCCATACAGTATTTCATATACATTTTGTTTCATGATATTGACTGCAATTCCCCACAACATAACAGCTATCTTCCCACTTCCTCCCTGTAGTTACCTCTTCTTCCCTGTGTCCTTCCCTCCCATGCACTCCCACCTTTGAGCTGTCTCCCTGTGCAAACACTGCCCTTCTGTTCTCCCACAATTCATCACTTCAAGGAGTGGATCTACCTGATGTAAATGTTCACCCCATATGCCTGTCTGTTGTTTGGCCCCAGGAGTGAGTTCAGTTCCAGGCCTGAACTAGAGGCCATAGTCTCGGGAGTCTCATCAGTCTATCAGACCAGTGAATCTGGTCTTTTTTTTATGATTTTGAGTTTTGTTCCACATTATTCTTTCACTCTCTCCAGGATCTCCTGCACTGATCCCTGGCTGAGTGGTTGACAGTGGTAGCCAGGCACCTTCTAGTTCTTCTGGTCTCATGTCATATAGGCTGAGGATCACATGATCCACTAGTCCCTTGGACTAATTGTTTCCATGTGTCTTTGGGTTTTGTCATTCTTCTTTGGTCTGAATGAGGAGAGACCCACTGTTGCATCTAGATGGCTGCTTGCAAGCTTTTAAGATCCCAGTCACTACTCACCAAAGTAAGATATAGAACATTATTTTTGTGTAGTATATTATGCCAATTGAACTTGATGTCCCCTGTGACCATGGTCCTGAGCCAACAGGTCCATCTGCTCACTCCCTCAGGGTGGTTGGCTGTGGCTAAGAAGTTATCATAACTTTGCTCCTTGTTAGCTCTATTATATACATGGACATTCATTATAGCACATACAAATATGTATGTAGAAATATCAACAATAACTGTTTTGGCAGAGAGAGTACAAAGATTCTATCAGTTGCTTTTGTGAATTCGTGTCATTAATCTCCATCATGTTCTATATGATCATGAGACATTAATGGACATTAGTGTGTTTGTTCGAGTGCCTGGGGCAGGCCAGGAAGTGAGCCCCGGGCATGGCAGGCAGTGTTGGAGTGATGGGGGAGGAAGTAAGTGGAGTGGTTTGGAACAACTAAGAGAGACTAGCTTGTCTGTCATTTTGTCTGTGGTGGCTTGCATGTTGCTATGAGGCTGGAGGCTATGCCTCCAGTGTTTCAAATGCCATCAGGGTTACTCATGGTGGACAGGTTTCAGTAGAGCTTCCAGACTAAAACAGACTTGGAAGAAGGAAGGGGCCATACACTTTTCAAAGAATTGGCCAATGAAAATCTTACTAATACCAGTGAAACACTGTGTGATTTATTACTGGAAAACTTTATGAATAGCCCTGAAACATTGTCCAATACAATGCCGGAGGATGAGCCCCTTGGGTCAGAGGGCACTCAGAATGACGGAGAAAGAGCTGCCTCCTCATAGTAGAGCTGACCTTAATGATGTGGATAGAGTAGAGCTTTCAGGACCTCCATTTGCTGATGTGCCGTGATTCAAAGTGAGAAGAAACAGCTGCCAATATCCAGTTGTGGAGAAACAGTCTACCCTAAAATGATACAACTTCTGAATACTGGCATTCTTTGACCTTGAAAGTAATCAAATTTTTTTTCTTCCTCCTCTATTTCATCAAGATGAACTAAAACCTTGCTTTTGGAAGCAACTGGGTTGGTCTGAACCATCCAGGTAATGAGATATCAGATGTTTACAGGTCAAAGTTCATTATTTATAGACAATATGACCAGACTTTAAACATTTATCAGCACCTAAATAAATACTGGGAGCTCTGGTAGTGTAGTGGCTAAGGCACTTGACTGCTAACCAGAAGGCTGGTGGTTCAAACCCACCAGCCACTCCTCGGAAGGAAGATGGGGCAATCTACTTCCTTAGTGATACTGCCTCGGAAACCCAAGGAGGGGTCGCTATGAGTTGGGTCTGACTCATTGGCACATAACAACAACAACAAATAAATATTAATGACAAAAATTTTAATTCAGACAAGGTTCCTCAGTTTAAACATGTTTAATGTTTTAATCTTTATAATTAATTAAAAGGAGCTCTGGTGGCACAGTAGTGAAGGCATTCAGCTGCTAACCAATAGGTCGGCGGTTTGAACCCACCAGCCACTCTGCGGGAGAAAGATGAGGCAGTCTGTTTCTGTAAAGATTTACAGCCTTGGAAACTGGATGGGGGCAGTTCTACTCTGTCCTATAGGGTCTCTATTAGTCAGAATCAACAGTGGATTTTTTTTTTTTTTTGTTATTAGTTAATTAAAATATAAGGTAAAATCAATGCCAACTTAACTGATTAAACAAGTGGGAGAGTCAACACAAGAACTGTTTCAGCAGAGAAAGCGCAAAAGATTCTATCAATTGCTGTGCATTTTGTATTTCCCTAATATGCTAGTTGATCAGAATCTCCCGATTATAAAAACCAAAATCTTTTTCCTTTGAATTCAGTTGAACAGAAAGAGAGGGTGTTGTGTCATTAAAAAGCATACACACCAACTTAAAACTCTCTTTTTTGTTCTTTAAAAAACATGCACGCAGGATAATTGTGCTGGAGCAGAGTGACTTGGCAGACTGACCAGAACTGGATGGCGAATGGACTCCTGGCCTGAGGTTGAGGGTCCAGGTTGTGAGCTCCCTTGTTCTTCCGTCTGCTCCAGTCCCCGCAGGGCGACAGTTCAGTAACTCACACTTGGTTCAGCTGCCACAGTAGACTGAAGGGTTTGGCCTTGTCTGTTTGTTTGTCCTGCCATATTTCTGAAAAATTATTACAAAAATTTCTCATTGTATCCAGAATCCAGAATGGCTTTTGGTTTTGTTGATATAGATTTGAGGAAATGTTCAACTTCTGTTATATAATAAAGTGTTTACTTTTCATACCAATTAGGTTTCAGCTGTGTAAGATGTCATTTCTGTGTTTGAGTTATTGGAAGGGAGGGCAAGGAAAACTGTCACCCAACAAGTCTTCAATTTCTGTTATAAAGTTTAACCAGCAGGCAACTGCGGCTGCCACCCATCATACAAATGGGTACCACTTGCCCATGTTTTGTGACAGAAATACTGCCCCTCTTACTGGCTGGGATTGCCATATTCTCATTCCAGTTAGAGTTAGTTTACACAATAAAAGTACAGATATGAATACAATTACAAGAAACTTTGAACTCCTTAAAGAAACATCATCTCTGTGTATGTTGGATTGTACATCTCACATCATTAGTGTTTTAGAAGAGTAAAATTATGGTGAAGACAGAGAGGGCAATATTTTCTTTAACTTAGCCTCTTAGGGCTACTAGCCAGGTATGTATGTGTCTCAAGCCTGGTTTTCAGAGGATTATATGTCTTCATCTACCTCCAGTTTGGAGTCTTTACATATGAATAAAAACCTTTTCTTGGAAGCTGTGTGCTGCGGCCCAGTACTCGTTAGCTACATTTTATTCTGTCGTGGTGAGTAAGTAGTATAGGTCTTTTATTTGTGAAAAACAAAGGGTTCCTGTTGTGGATGGTCATGTTTGTATAGTTCTTAGCTCCCAAAGTTTTACCTTGTATAGGTAAAATGGGAAGGTACAAATTTACCTGAGCATTTTAAAGCAAGGAAATAATTTCTTACTATTGTAACCACAGGAGGACCACCAGAAAACATAAATCAGTTTACAAAAAAATTATGAAAGCTGGAACCTGTGTAAGAGAGAAACCTGTCAGAGAAGAAAAACTCAAATATTTTCCACACAAAGTGGTAAGGCTGCACCCTGTCAAAGGCAGAAAACTTGTGAGGCCCCAAAAAACAAGGCAGTCCTGTTGAGTTCCAGCTCTCACAGTTTCACTCTAATGCCATGTGCAAGAAACTTGGAAAGGTTCAAAGATTTTTAGTACACACAGCCCTTCCTCTCAAAAAAACCTTTAATTGGTGAGGTAAAACCAACATATATAAAAATGTAAGGACTGATAGCAGGCATATTATGATAAATGGCGAGTTGTGTTATTACAGCATTACCTTTTAGTGTTCATAAAGGCTATAGGTCCCACACAAACTCCCACCAGTGTGGATTATAACATTATATCTATAAGGCCAGCAGAATAGACTCTTCTATCCGGCCAGTAACTATGTAACATTGGCCAACATTAGCAATAACAGTAGTGGTAGGTATTATTTACAGAGCATCTATCATGTGCTTGGTGAACCCCATCCTTATATCTGTTCTGGTGCTGCTGGTCCATGTCCTACAGGTTGAGATGCAAGGATTTAGTGGTCTCCATTCTAACACAGTACTTCTCAGTCCTGACTGCACATTAGAATTACCTGAGGAATTTGAAAAAAACATTCAGGCACCACACCCAGATTATCTGATTTATTTGATCTGGGGTGGAGCATGAGTATTAAAAGTTGTCCAGGTGTTTCTAATGTGCTGCCAGAATTGAAGACCACTGTCCTAAGGAGAAAGCTGAACTGTGCAAAAAGATGTGATTACACAAAAGGATATTGATTGCAGCATTGTTTATAATATTGAAACACTGGAAATAATCTAAATGTCCAGCAATGAAGGGCTGTTAAAAAATTTTGAAACAACCATAAGTGGACTAATTAAACATGATGTCATAGATAAAGATGTATTGACATATAAAGGTGTCCGTTAACATATTATGGAATAGGAAATGTAGTTGAGCTCTGGTAGCATAGTGCCTAAGGCACTTGACTGCTAACCAGAAGGCTGGCGGTTCAAACCCACCAGCCACTCCTCGGAAGGAAGATGGGGCAATCTACTTCTGTAGTGATACTGCCTCGGAAACCCAAGGAGGGGTCGCTATGAGTGGGGTCCAACTCAACGGCACATAACAACAAGAAGTAGTTGAGTGTGGTTGTTTTAGCCACTGTTGAGTTGGCCCTGGGATCATGGCAACCCCATGCAAAATGGAACAAAATGCTACCCGATCCTGTACCATCCCTGTGATTGGTTGTGGTTCAGACCATTGTGATCCGTAGGTTTTCATTGGCTGGTTTTTGAGGGTCAATCATCAGGCTTTTCTTCCTAATGCATCTTAGTCTGAAAGCTCCCCTGAAACTTGTTCAGCATCATTGGGGTGTGTAAGCCTCTGCTGACAGATGGATAGTGGCTGTTCATGAGAATGTCCCTCACAGAAAGTGAGAATCCTATCACTGACCCACCACTGCCTCATAGTAGGTATAGTAAGACCCCAGCTATGTTAATTTATAAATAAATATCTATATGCAGTAAATGCATACAGAAAGATAGCTGGAGAGATGCTTATCAAAACAGTGGTCCTTTCCAGATGATGGAATTTCACCTTTTTATAATTCTTGGTATTTGGGGAATAGAAGGGTTTGTTACTAGTTGTTGTTGAGTCAGTTCTGCCTCATGATGACCCCCGTGTGCACAGAACCACTTCACAGAACTACTTCATAGGGTTTTCAAGGCTGTGTGACCTTTCAGAAGTAGATTGCCAGGACTTACTCCTGAGGTGCCTTTGGGTGGGTTGGAACCGCCAACTTTTTGGTTAGTAGTTGAGGGCTAAACAGTTTGTACCACCCAGGGACTCCAGGAAAAGTTTAGGAATGTTTAAAACCATCAGTGAGAGGCATAACGAGGATGTTATAATAAGCACATAAGTATAAACCTAATAAATTTTATTATAATTTATTTGAAGAAAAACTGTGTAATAGAAGGAAATGGTCAGTGTAGAGCTGTGGTAGTTAAGTTTGTGTGTTAACTTGGCTGGGCTGATTGAGTGACTGGGAAACTGTATGTAGTATTCCCCATGATGAGAGTGGTAATCAATTCCATGGTGGAATATACTGTGAGCAGCCTTAGGGATGTGGTCTGCTTCCTGTATATTAGGAGAAGTGTTGGGGAATGGTCTCTAGCTTATGGCACACTTGAACCCTGCATGTAGCTGTGTCATTGTTCAGCAGCCTGCCATGCTCTGCCGACCTTGGGACTTTAAGTGGACTTGAATTAATGGCCTACCGTGTGGTTTGGTAACATTGAGACTGTGCCTTTTTACTTGTCAGCCTTGGGCTTGTCAGTCTCAGCAGCCAGTAGCTGTCTTGAGTGAAGAAAACCCTGTAGCTTCAGTGGGCCGGGAGCAGGAAGCAGAACTGAAGCCCAAGGTTGAGGGGCTTTCACCCAGCCCCTAGAGCCTGGCACTTGGAACTTGGACTTAAAGCCTCCAAACTGTGAGAGAATAAACTCCTGTTTGTTAAAGCCATCCCATTTTTGGTATATTTTCTTGTCAGAGGGGCGCTAGGTAACTGAACAAGAGCATAAGAAAATGAAGCCTTAGGAGTCAAGACACTGGGGATGTTCAACTAAGCATTGTGGGTCGGTACATGGGGATATGCCCAGTACTCTCTGGCAGGTGTAGCCCTCTTGTGGATCATCTTAATAACTCCTTGGTCCAATTCTGTGCTCAATAAGCAACTTATATTCCTCTTAATTTTGGTCTACAGGGAGAGAATGGCCTGGCTTTCCAATCAGCTTGACAATTGTGTAAGTTGCTATTCTGGTTTATATGTTGGACTCTATGCTTAGCTAATGAGAGTCTACACTTGAGAAATGAATCTTATAGTATCTATTTCTATAAACAAATAACTCCCAAACCTCAGTGACTTAAAACAGTAATTATTTATTATTTCTAAGTTTTTGTGTGTCAGGAATTTAGGAACAGCTCATCTTGGTAGTTGTGGCCCCGAATCTCATGAGATTGCACTTTGATGTACTTCCAAGCTGACTCACCCACCCAGCTGGCAAATTGTTCTTGGCTGTTAGTTAGGGACCTCAGTTCCTTTCCACATGGGTATCTCCACAGGGATGCTTGAATGGCCTCACCATATGGCACCTGGCTTCCCCCAGAGTGAGGAAGCCAAGAGACCAAGGCAAAAGCTGCAATCCTTACTATGATCTAGCCTCAGAAGTCACACACTATTGGTTCTGCCATATTGTATTGGTCAATTGGTCTGAATCTGTTGATTCAGAATGGTAAGGGGCCTGCACAAAGACATGAATATAAATACCAAGAGGTAAGAAGGGTCAAGGAGAGCCTTTTGGAGCCTGGCTACCACAGACTTCATCCTAGTGGACTGACCAAATCAAATATGTAAGAAGACTTGGCAGCCAACCAAGTGGCCATCCCTGGCACATCTGCACCTCACTGGATGCCTTTCATTCAATAGAAAACAGTGCTGTAGCTTCTACATAAGACATCACATTGCATCCTCATCATGGCGCTGCTAGAAGGGAGAGGAAGAAGAGTGGGGGCCACCTTCCAAGAGCCCATCTGTGCCTCAGACACAGCAAGATTCAAGTTAAACTATTCATGATAAGGAAAATGTCAGATTCTCTGTTGTATTTTGAAACATTTCTGCCAAAATCACCCTTTATGTTTATTGTGCTGAAATTGAACACTAATAAAAGATCTTTTTCCCAACTTTAAGAGAATATAAACACTCATTTAAATATCTGATCTTATATTAACAGGATTAGAAAAGTCAGTTAGTGGTCTTCATGTTGATGGGGAAATTCAAACTGTCTCTTAATTTTCAATGAGGAATATAATCTTCCTAGA